GTGCTGGGAACTCCAGTTGCTCCTCCTGTAAATGGGGATATGTATACTGACATAAGTACTGTGAATGTCACGCTTCAAGGATCCAGGTAAGAGAGAACTGTAATTGTATTTATTTATTGGCTATCAAATGCTTAAGCCTCCTCAACTGATCCAAGGAGCTGCTACAATGTGGTTTATCTTGTAGAAGAATGAGCAAAGGCGTTGAGTATTTGGTTGAGGCAGCAGCTGCTGAAGCTGAGGCCATTAGTGCCACACTGGCTGCTGCCAAGGCACGACAAGTTAATGGAGAAGTTGAACTTCCCGATAGGGATCGATGGGAAGAGGCTACACCTAGTGGAAAACAGATGTCTACCTTGATTAAAATGCCTGATTCTTCTGGGTCAAATGATGTTACTCCAGCTGGAGTTCGGCTTCACCATAGAGCTGTCAGTGTCAGATAGTTGGATTGAAATGATACTGTTTTTAAGTCAATTTGGTATTCTTTGTTATCTATGACTTTGTGACTAATGTTTCCATTATGCAATAGGTTGTTGTAGCCGCAGAGACTGGTGGAGCTTTAGGTGGGATGGTCAGACAGCTTTCTATTGATCAATTTGAAAACAAGGGCAGGCGGGTTGGCTATGGGACTCCTGAGAGTGCAACTGCAGCAAGGACACTATTAGATAGGCAGATGTCAATGAACAGTGTCCCAAAAAGGTACTAATAAGTAATAACATTTTTTTGTGTGTCATAAAGCAAGACCTGTGTTTTAGAGGTAATTGCTGATGTGTCTACAAATAAAAAAGGAAGAGTTGGAATAGCAATAGCAGGATCTTTCAATTTGAATGGTTAACTTTATGGATTAAGATATTGTTGTAAAATTTTCTTCATTTCTATGAGATTAATTTTAGTTAATCTGAGTTAAGATGGATCTTTTCTTTTTATGACAATTGATAAATTTAGGAGAGTAATATATTTTTGAACTCTCAATTAAAGGTGATAGAGTTCTACCTTATTCTATATTTTTGGGTTCACATTTAGTACCCTCATATGTATATATGCTCTTTATGTTCCTAAGGTTATTATTTCCCTTGATACAGTCTTGATTTACAGCAGGAGCTATACAACTCAAAGCAGTGAAAGAAATCTCATTGGCTTCTTAATCAACTTAGCTTAAATTCTGATATAAAAGGAAAGGGAAAGAAAAGCTTGTTTTCCTTGTGATTATTTGTAGGCTAGATTTCATTACCATGCTTTTAATGCATTACAAATCTGTTTTGCAATCCTCATGAATGCACGCCAGTATTAGAAAGAAGTTGATTATCAATTTTATACAGCAGCTTGGAGAGAATTCCTCATTGAGATTTCTCTTGTTCGATTTGGGAAATCCATATTTTCTTGAATATGCAGTTTAATGATGTGATTGATAATTCTTATATATTGAACATCATGTTTCTTATGGTTAATGAAATCTTAAGGCACTCTTTTCCTCCTTCCGCTGATTAAGGAGCTTTTTTACAAGATCCTTTAATCAAGAAGGAGGTTTTTAATGAGGCCTGCAATTCCTATAAAAAAATATATTGAACATCAGTTTTGTTTCAGTTGGTTATGAGATACTGATGAATGATAGTTCTGATAGGATTTTATTTGAAGTATTCAATTAGTCTTGCATCTGCACTCCTGTTATATCTGTCAAATGCTTCCTTGATGAACTATAATGAGGAGTCTATATGACATTTTGTCCAGGTCATAGCACATCTTTTGAAGCCTCGTGGTTGGAAACCTCCAGTTCGTCGACAGTTTTTCTTAGATTGCAATGAAATAGCAGATCTCTGTGAAAGTGGTGAACGAATATTTGCTGCCGAACCAGCTGTTTTACAGCTGAAAGCTCCTATTAAGATTTTTGGTGATCTACATGGACAATTTGGGGATCTTATGCGCCTTTTTGATGAATATGGTGCACCTTCAACAGCTGGAGACATTGCGTAAGCTTGGTTAAAATTCTTGTTTCCTAAAGGCTCTTTACTGTCGATGTTTAAATTGACTAGGTTTTCAACTGACCTTTTTAATATCTATAACTACTGTTGTCTCTCTCTGGTGTAACCTCCATGTGCTGTATTACATCTTATTTTTAATCTTGACATTTTATTTACTTGATATTGGTTTGGTTTAAATTACTATCAGATATATCGATTATCTCTTCTTAGGAGATTATGTGGACCGGGGTCAACACAGCTTGGAGACCATTACTCTTCTGCTTGCATTGAAGGTAAATTTAGAAATTTCACGCTTTGATCATCTTCTCATGCTTGCTTTTACATACTGTTGAAGTTTGTGATGAGCCAAGATTTTCATGTAATTATGTTATGTTGCAGGTTGAGTATCCCCATAATGTGCATTTAATTCGGGGGAATCATGAGGCTGCTGATATCAATGCACTTTTTGGCTTCCGGATTGAGTGTGTTGAGCGCATGGTATTGTTTCACATTGTGTTTGAAAGATGTTAGTCATGTTTTGTATAATGTTTTTCTCACAATTCTGATGGCTTTTCACAGGGTGAGAGAGATGGAATATGGGCATGGCATCGCATAAACCGTTTATTCAATTGGCTTCCTCTGGCAGCTCTAATTGAAAAAAAAATCATTTGTATGCATGGTGGCATTGGTCGGTCTATAAATCATGTGGAACAGATTGAGAATCTACACCGTCCAATTACAATGGAAGCAGGCTCGATTGTTCTTATGGATTTATTATGGTCAGAGCATGTTACGATTTTGTTTGAGTCCTGAAATATAGTATTTATTGCTTTAATTTACTGATTTATTTTACTGCCATTTTATATTCTAGGTCTGATCCAACAGAAAATGATAGTGTGGAAGGGTTGCGGCCAAACGCTAGAGGCCCAGGGTTGGTTACTTTTGGGGTGCGTGTGCTACTTTAAAACCTTTTTTTTAAAAAAAACTACAACCTTTTAAGTTCTTTCTAGCTGCATTTTTCATTGATTTCAACATTTGTGGATGTATTTGCATGGCAATGTGCTTGCATATTATGGCTAGCTGTTTGATCTCTTTATTGTTCCCATGAAACTGCTTCACTTCCTTCTTTCCTCTCTCACTTTCTCACACATATACACTCACGAACAAACTGCTTTAAGGGGATGGTGATCTCTTTAAGATTCCCTTGAAAGTAATTTTTTTTTTTACTTACGATATTGTTTAAATTGCTTGCGTTCCCTGTCCCACTTGCTTGTGCAGGTCATTTCTCAGCAAAACTGTCTTTTCTGATTACTTCAATGATGATTTTGCGTTTTATGCTTATGTAAATGGTTTTAACTGTTGCAGCCTGATCGTGTTATGGAGTTCTGCAATAACAATGATCTTCAGTTAATTGTTCGTGCTCACGAGTGTGTTATGGATGGCTTTGAGCGTTTTGCCCAGGGACATTTAATCACTCTTTTCTCTGCAACCAATTACTGTGGTGTGTCCCTGATCCTTGCTTTAGTATACATGCAATTTGTCAGGTTCGGACTATTTAAGCTTTAAATTTTGTTACATGCTTGAATTTTCAGGCACTGCAAATAATGCTGGCGCAATCTTAGTTTTGGGTAGAGATCTAGTGGTAGTCCCAAAACTCATTCATCCTTTACCCCCAGCAATGTCATTGCCAGAAGCATCACCGGAACGTCATATAGAAGATACATGGATGCAGGTGCCTCCTCTTTCTCCTTGTCATTTATGTACCCTTTTACTTACTACGTGCATAGCTTCTTATACTGTTGCTTTCTTTTTTTTGTTTAACCCATGGGATCAGGAGTTGAATGCTAACAGACCTCCGACACCCACTAGAGGTCGTCCTCAGGTGGCAAATGATCAAGGCTCTCTCGCTTGGATATAATAGATCCTTCCAATTGTTTCTATATGCACATTCAGGCTCATGCTAACTCATGCTGTTCTGTATAAGAGCATGATGCCAAATACAGGCCTTTCCGAACCTGTAATCTCTCTCGTAACAAAGTTTGAAGGCTCCAACCTTGGTTTTTCGCCGGTTTTCAGCACACGGTATGCCTTGAGAGTATGAAAGATGCAAAGTTCCGTTCTTGATAGTATGATAGATACAAGTTAGAGAAGCAGATTGTGGGCGGCAGCGTAGGATTTCTTTTCGGTATGTGTTGAGCGTGCAAAATTCGGGCTTATCTTTGTAAATCAGTTGGGTGGTTTCTTCAAAAGTGTCGAGTATTTTTCACATTTAGTTTTTTTTATTATTATATTTTTTACGGCTGATATATATTTTACGCCCTTTGATGTTGGTTATATGTGATGATGGGAGATAATATTAAAAAGAGAGAATATGTTGGCGTTGGCTGTATCAAGAGTTGATGGTGTTTGGTGTAATTCTTTTTATGCCTTGTACAATTATGCAATGTTTGTGGGAAGATGACAAACTACTGTTCAACCATCAAAGTTTTACAAGTTCTGCTCATCGTTTCTCTCACTTGTAAACTTAGCTGTCAGAATTCGAGGGTTTCCTTGATGCAGTAGATTTACATCATCTTAACGAATTGTTAACTTCTCCTTATTATCATACAATGATTAATACTTAATTTATTAAGCATATTTAAAAAATAAAAAAATAAAAAAGATTTTTTTACTGTTTTAACCTTATGAAGAAAAAAAAATACTAAAAGTATATGTGATAGAAATTTTATTAAGTATATTTAAAAATAAAATAAATAAATAAATAAGATTTTTTTACTGTTTTAACCTTGTGAACAAAAATACTAAAAGTATATGTGATAGAAATATTACCTCTGTTACAAATGGTTTTTTTCAAAGGTAGAAATATCAATCACAAATCACGACCCCAATCTAAACATAAGACAAGCACATGTATGATTATGTGCCCAAAATTTAAAAACCATGACTCATGCTCAAACCAATTGAAAGAACAAAGAGAGACAAAAACAGACCACCAATCCATCCATAATTATATTAGCCACAAATAGGCAAAGAAAATCATACAAGATATCTACTATATATATCTCTCCCTCGGATGTTTTTTATTGGGATTTTGAAGACACAATCACCCTCCTCAAAGAGTGGATGTGGAAAAAACTAGCTAGGAGAGAACAAAAATAATATTATAGGCATGGATTTTAATCATCAGGAAGTGGCAATGCAATGAGGTGCCCAGAATAGAAGGGGTCTCCTATGTTCCTTGCAGCCTTTCGACAATGGAACTAACTCACCACCTTTAATATTCACTTTCATTTCTTGTGACTGTTGATCAAGTGACGCCTTTGACATGCCCTGATTCGGCCTCCTCCAGTAGCACTCATAAGCATTGAATGATACAACTGTACCTGCTCCTGCTCCTGCCTTCGACGGTGATATTGGAATTGGCCTACCCATCGGTGGACGTGGTGGCAATGACTGTGCTAGTGATGTTGGTGCTACTGTTGGCTTTACTTTCCCCTCCTTTTCGTCTCCGAATTTGACTATTTCATTGATATCTTTAGTCCATGTTGGGTTCCTATTTGCTAACCACATCGGCTTGTTCATCATCACGGCTAACCTATGCACAGTGATTGCTCCACTTGACAGTTTGGGAGCCTGCTCAATCTCATAACATCTATCTTCACTTTCCTCTTCTTCTTCATCAATGTCTATTTCACTTTCTTTTTCTCCGAAGCTTTCAAACTCTTCTTCTAACTCTTCCACTTCCATTACTTCTTCTTCAGCACCATTGGTATTCGCGAAAGTGAGGACAAGGCGACCGTCTTGGCGTTGAGCAAGAAAGTTGTTCAAACAAGGCATCGAAACAGCTTCAATGACCAATTTTCCATTATCACGACGAGTCTTCAACCGCCTCGATGCTCCGTCTTTGGCCGAAAGGGAAGAGATTGGCGGAGGAAATGAAGGGTTTGGCGATTTCTTCCCAACATCGTAATGTTTCGGAATTATTTCCGCCTTTTCACCATCGAAACAAGGCGTAACCGTGGGTGCCACTGGTTCTTGCTTTTGGTGTAGCAGTTGTTGATCCTCTTGTTCATCTTCCTCCATGTCACCGGTTTCCGAAGAGAACCCATCGGAGCCGGTTTCGGAACCAAGGCTCTCGGTACAAATTTCAAGGCTTTTCTCGCTTAAACAGCTACCGGATCGCTTCACAAGAGGGTGAATATAAGGCGGGGAAGAGTTCGAAGTCTCTTCCACTGGCTTTTGTGATACGATGGAGCTCCATACATCGAACTTACCTTGATTTTCAACTTCCTTCTTCTTTTGTTGAATGGAAGCCCAGACATCGAATTGACTCGGCGCCTCATCATCGTCTTCCCCTTCTTCGAATGATGAAGAAACAGGGAATTCCTGGGATGAAGGACTCTTTTTCAGGGGAGACATTAACCCTTGTTGTGTCAAAGACATATCGGCCGACAAAGTTCTTCTAAGCGAAGTACCTTTGGCCGCCGGTGTGTCGGAATCCGATACGAGAATGGAGAGTATACCCTGCTTCTTGGCATCCATGGCCTCTTCAAGTGAAGATAATAGAAGGGTGCTGCAAAGTGATTAACACAAATTTATCTGTCACAGTTGAAAGAAACAAAACAAAAGAGCTTAGGAAATAGGTATAGCTAAACAACAAATAACAAGTTACTAAGAAACATGCATGCATGTTGCTTATAAGCTGTATGTATAGATAATCATAAGGGGAAAATGGATTAGAAACGAATTTACCTTATTGTTAATAACAGCAAATATGTAGCAGCAATAGCATCCAGCAGAGGTCAGCCCTCTGGGGGGACTGCTTTTGCTTGAATTTTTGTGTTGATGTAAATCAGATCATGGGTTTGATTGATGGAGCAATGCAATGGTGGGGGTATTTGTAGGAGGCTTTGGAATCATGTCCATTGGTCCCCATCATCCACACACTCCACCACTGCTTTTTCCCCCTTAAAAAAATGGGTGATTTTAAAATTAAAAGATACTAAGAATATAGTGTTGAAAGTTAATTCGGAATCATGTTCTAGTGACGAGTTTTAAAAAATATGATAAATAATTGGAAATCGTCTTGTTTTATAAAATATAATAAATAATTAAAACTCGTCATGGGGTACGACGATATCCATACAATTTTTAAGTCCACGTGACAAGTTAAAATTTTTAATATTTTATGATATTTATCATGAAGGTACGACGAATTCCACGTATACTATAACAAATATCCTAAATGTCAAAATAATTTTTTAATACCTGCATTTTTCAAAAATTTATTTCCCGCCCATAATATTTCTAAAATATAAGTTAAAAAGTTGTGTTAAGTTATGAAATGTTAAATAGTTTTATTACACTTTGTCTTTATACCAGTGCACACAGACTTACCGAAATAGTAAGTTGTTGAGATTTATTAATTAGTTGATTGATTAAAAGTGTTTGTATTGTTTTATTTTGTGTGCATTTGAACTTAATATTTATTTTTGAAATGTAATATCTCCACTTAATAAAAAAACGTTTAATAAAAAAAACACTTATACTATACCTAAAGTTAATTTTAAATACATAAAAAAAATTCTCAAAAATAATAAATAAAAACTTAATATTTTCGACATTACTTTTTTAGATATTTATATTATAACAATTAAAAAAATTCATTACATGAAACGTATCAAATGGTTAATGGATCGACCCACCTATTAGACACGGTTTTGAGCAACGGTGCTTGAGCATGACGGTTGAGAATGAGTGGTTGGAGTAGGGTAATAATGATTAAGAAATACGACCTCGAAGTAGTTTGGAGGACGGAATCGGATTATGGTAGCGACCCCAGTCTAATCACCACAACACACAACCTTTTCTTTTCTTCCTCTTCTTTTATTTTTTATTTTTTTGAAAATCCACATGATTTTCATAGATTGAAGTCAAATCATTCTCCTTTTTTAGATGGATGAATCGAGTTAAATAAATTTTTTAAATTTTAAATTTTTATTTTATAATTTAAATTTTATTTAAATATTTTTATTCAAGTTTGTGAAATTTGAGTCGATTTGAGTTATTTAAATTTCTATTTAAATTTAATTATAAATATTTTAATATTATGAAACTACGTGATTTTAATTTAAATAAATTTCTATAATTATATATATATATATATATATATATATATATATACTTCTTCAAAAAAAAATCATGTGTCTTTTTTTTCCCCTAGCAGCTCTCTCCACCCCTCTTTTTTCTTAAGAGTTTGTTTATTTTTTATAAATCAAATCAATTTTTTCTTCTTTGATTTTATTTAGCCGACAGTGATATCGATTTTGATGCTAGTTTTCGATCATCGGTTCTCTTCTCTTTTAGTTTCTTTTTTAAATTTTAATAAGAACAATTTTATCTTTGTGACACATTTTTCGTCTTCTTTCTCGGTCATTTGTCCGTTCTTTTTATTTTATGTTTTCATGGTTGGATTTGACGATGTCACAATTGATCAAGATGACGTTTATTTGTAATCCTATTGATCTTCCCTGCTATGGACCCTCAGATTGAATTTGGATACGTGATTTTACGATCGTGGATAGTTTCTCACGACTCTCGACTTTGATTTACAGTTCTCTGTGATCGTTCAATAGCTTAATCTCATTCTATGGTTCATTTACCAATTCATTCAGATTTATTTGTATCTATTTTTTGTTCAATTCTTTTGGTTGGGTTTTTAACCTTTTCCATGTTTGGTCCTTATATGATCTAAAGTGCCTAGTTTCAATGTTATAGGAAAGTGTTCAAATTATGTATTTAGTTTACGATGATAGTTATAAACTCTTATTGTGATTTTGGATATTTTCATTTTTCATAAGATTATCGGCTTCTATTAAAAAAATTAAACATATGTGATATACATAAGTTACGCAAAGTTGAGAGACTTAACTCAAACTTGAAAATCAATCCACTAATGAGTTAATTGTGTCCTTAAAGTATGTCACTCATTTTAAAATGGTCTCTAAACTTTTAAATGTTCCAATTTCATCCCCAAACTATGACCTTCACTCTAAATTGGTCCTCAAACTTTTTGAACATTCTAATTTCATCTGTTGATGTATATACTGATCACATCCTTTGTTAATAAAACCATTAGGTCGAGTTATATTATTATATGTTAAAAATATAATTTAGGCTAAACTATAGTTAAAACAAATTACATATTTTGATGGATTTGGGGATGAAATTAGAAAATTCAAATGTTTGGGGATCAATTTAGAAAGAGAGTAATAATTTAGGGATAAAATTAGAATATTCAAATGTTTAAGAACTAATTTAAAATAAAAAGTTTACTTTGGGGACATATGATACAATTAATTCATATTAAATCCTAAAACTTTAACTCTAAATCTTAGATAAGATATATGATCATAAAATTGGCCGAATAATCCTTTGAATTTTTTTCTTCATATAATCATTCAGGGTGAAAGTTACAATAATGTCGCATGAAAAATGTCTGAAAGACATGATGACTTCTTTAAGCTGCATGTGTGCCTGACTTTGTCTTCTCATGAATCTTTCAAAAGTCGTCGAGTATTGTAAGCGTTTTTCAAAAATCGTCGACTCTTCTAAACGTCTTTCAAAAATCGTCAAATCTTTTAGACGTCTTCCATACAACATTGTAATATTCACTCTAGATGAAAAATTAATTTTCTTAACATCAAAAAATATTTTTTCCCAAAATATTATTTGATCAATTTTACTAATATATGAAGATATTTTAACCCTGCTATGATTTTTTTTCATGGTCATTATATGAAATAAATTATATTAACCCTTCCACAAATAATCCGTATAAAAATATTAAAGTGTAAATTATATATATATATATATATATATATATATATATATATATATATATATAATTACCCCAAAATAAAACATATAATAAATTAGCAGATGCCAACTAGCAACAACTGGATGAACAAATTCCAAGCTGACTGAGTGACGCAGGGAATCGGAGCTTGTAAATAAAAATAACTGGAAGTACGTACTAAATTTACTATTCCTATTAATATGTTATACTAATTAATTATTATTCCTCCAAAATGCGGATTAATTAAGGTTTAATATTATTTTACCATTTTTATGTCTAAAGTCAAAACCCAACTTTTTCTAAATAACTTAAAATAAAAAAAAGGTGCATTCGTCTCGAGTGTCTTATAAGTTTGAAAACCTTGTAAAAGTAGGATTTACAGGCATTATTATAATTAATTATCACTTATTATAATTAGCAGTACTTTTGTTAATAAAAAAAAATGCCGGAGACCATGTATTATGGAAAAGTGAGCATTAGGTTCGTCCACCTAATAATAGTAGTGACGTACGTGTTTATCTTAAAATTTAATTTTTTTAAAATATTTTTTATCTAATTAATTGTGTTTATTTTAAAATTTTATTTTTTTCCACTATGTATAAAAAATTTACATTTATATCCACCTTCTACAATATTTTTAAATCCATCGTTACCTCCAAACATAAGCTTTATTATTATTATTTTCAATTTAATTTAATATTTTTCCCTATTACTGGCCTAATATTTTTTCCTATAAAAGGAATGTGATTCATTTAAAAGCTGACATATTTGGCGTTCAATTCTTTAAATATATATTACGCATTGTAAATTTTGATACCTTCGTAAATTCAATTAATCCAAATTTAAATCATATGTTAATAAAAGTTATATTTTCTAAATTCTATTTAATTTGATTGAAAAAATATCCATATTTTTCTAAATCCATTTACGTTTATACAAATAATGATTGAATTGACTTTAAACTTCATTCTAAAAAAATGATTAACCTCTTCCGAAACTCTTCCTGCTTGTTACTTTGGGTTACCTTTTGGTCAGTTCAGAAATTCTCTTGGAGCCTAGTGGTTGAGTGAGAATAAGAATGAACAAACCTTAATTCGATTTTAATATATATATATATATATATATATTAATTTCATATTAATCGAGTCAAGTTATTTGACTCATGATGAGGTATGGCCACTATGTGTTATTAATCGATTTTTTCAGGAATCTAGTACCTCATCCCACTAGACCAACTACTTGTTGGTAACGACAAACATTTTTTGGGTTCATAGTTTTATTGGAATTATTGGGTATTATAGGAGGTCTGTTAACTCTCCAAAGGTGTTGGATGTGATTGAATCATAACTCCAATATCAACTCTCCAAGGTATGATTGAATCACATCTTTGTATGTTCTTTACGGCTCTACCACCAATCCTACTTAGTACGACATTTATCTAAGATGAATCACAACACAATAGGTTCGTTATTATATAAGAGCTTTCCATCACCACTATACTACATCTTATATCAACACTATATACATCTTACTAATGAAATAATTAACGTAATACAAAGTGATAAACATAATATTGTTAGTTAGACTATCCATTTCGATAAAAAAAAATAAGTCTAGAATGAGAGTGAAATCTATGCTTGAGCTTGAATTGAGTAGGCATAAATTCTACTTGAACAATGGATGAATCTTTTTTTTATGATCAATTAAGGTCACAAGTTTATCTCTTGTGATGAATATCATGAATATTATGAAGTAAATGGAATATTAAAGATGTATAAAATAAGAGAATGACATTAAATTGAGAATTGGATATCATATATTATATCATAAAGGAATTTAACAAAAAGGAATAGCGAAGGAAGGAGGTGAATTCAGCGTCATTAATTTGCTTCTTCATTCTTTTCCTAAAGCTGAATGAAGTTAAACTAGTAGTGCGCCTTCGCTTTTCGAAATGTCAAGTTGCAAAATGCTTGTTCCCCTCAATTTTTTCAGCTTTAT